GGTAGTTTTTCCAAACTGTCCCAGGATTTTCCTGAAACACAGCTAGTCACCATATTATGAGTTTTTCTTTCTATACACACAGCTAGATATATTTCCCAGCCTCCTTTGGAATTGGTGTTGCTGAGTTCTATCTAATGTAGAAGAAGCTACAGTGACTGAGGTGCAGTTCTTCTAGGCCAGGCTCACTAGAAACTCCAGTGCAAAATCCCTCACATCCTTTTTCCATCTGCCAGCTGATGCAGATGAGCATAATGATTATAAGCACCATACATTAAAAATGTGGAACTATAAGATAGAAGGAACCTAGGGCTCTGAACCATGTCTTAGAGAAGAAAGGCTCCGCTAACAGGGAATATTCATTTATCTGCTGCTGCTTCCCTTCAATGCTGCCTTCCAAATTTTGTGCAAATTCCTCTCATTGTTAGATGCCAAACCTGAACCTTGCTGACAAGAAAGACTAGGAAATATAATTTTCAGGCTTCTAGCCCTGTGATACATGGAGGAGTTAAGAGACATTCAGATAGTACAGTATTAGTACAGTACATAAAATAGTACAGTACATAAAATAGATGTCAGAGGTAATTTTTTGTATTGACATAAAATAGATGTCAGAGGTGATATTTTTATCCCTCAAGCTACAGACTTCATAGATAAACATTTAAGAAATGTGTAATTTATTTAATATTACCAAGGAAATCCTCTTTATTTATTGAATCAGAATACAATTCCGTCACCATCTGTACCACTATCACCCTAATCCTAATCAACATCATCTCTAACCCAGACTATTTAGTAACTGGTATTTCTAACTGGTATTTCTCCAATCATCTTTGTATAGTCTGCCCCCTCACAACAGACAGTGATTTTTGAAATCAGATCATGTCACTCCTTTGGTCAGAATCCACCAATGGCTTTTCACTTCATTTAAAATAGGACATACAGTCCATACTTGGTATATAAAGCAATAATGACCTTTCTTTCCTTTCCCTTATCTATTTTTCTTTATCTCCAACCACATTTTCTCTCTCTCTCACTCCTCTGCATTCACACTGACCTTGATGGTTTCACAAAATACAAAAGGCAAATTCCTACTTTTGGATTCTTCCATTCTCTTTGCTGGGACTGTGATATCCCTAATCACATAGCATGTTTCCTCACTTGTGAGTCTCTGATGAAATGTTACCTTATCAGCGAGTCTGTCCTGACCAAATTATAGGAAAAAGCACTCTTTCCACCCTTTGTTCTTTTCTTCTGATTTTACTCCTTAAAACTTATTACCTCTGCTCCTTATTTTCTGTCAATACACTTAGTACCACAATATATATTAATGTTTGTGGTGTGTACACACACACACACACACTTAGTACTACCACATATATGTAAACATGTAGTAAAGAATTTAACCTATCCAAAGAGAAGTTTGGCCTTTGTTTTCAGCTTCTGGGGAGATAATCTCTAAACCCTTGGAATCTCATTCCTGATAAGAGTATCTTTGTTTGGGGGCTTTGGACCAGCCAGATGTAACAATGTGATTTTGGGTGGGGGCTTTGGGTCATATCAAGTTAACCTCCTGTGGAGGTAGAAACAGATCAGTCATATGAGCAGTCAACCATGCTTACTCCTGTTCCTGCAATGATGGAGCCCCCCAGTAAAGCCTCTAGACCCCAAGGTTCAGATAAGCTTTCTTGGTTGGCAGTACTCTGTGTATGTTGTCATACAGTAATTCCAGGAGAGTCATGCTGTTCATGACTCCATGGGAGAGTACAATAGAAATTCCACATTTAGAACTTCTCCTGCACTTCATTTTCTGAACTCTTTCCTGGGCTGATTTTAATCTGTGTCCTTTCCCATAACTATGACAATACAGCTTTTCATGAGTTCTGTGAGTCCTTCTAATGAATTACTGAAACTAACCATGTAACACATAACCCCTTGTTATCTGTTACTAACAGGTAACCCCCTGAACTTGCAGTTGGTGTCAGGAGTGAGGGCAGTCTTGTGTAGACTGTGTTCTTTAACTTTACAGCTCTCTCAAACTCATAATATGTATTTATATACTTGGTTTTTTTTTTGTTGTTCACAGTTATAATCCCAAGTGCCTAGAACAAATTTTTCAGCAGTCATTTATTAAATATTAGAATGAAGATATAAATGAAAGTAGCTAAAAAGAAATTAAGAGAAAATCTATTTCTGAAATCCAGTACTATAGAACCATATGTAGAAAAGCTTCCAAGAAATGCATATCAAAGTCTATTTTCATTATATTCTAAGTAACACTGTGATGTTTGTTGTCTTCAAAATAAGTTGCCTCTGTCAGTCACAACTCTCAGAAGTCTTAGGGATTTTATCTTATGTGTTTAAATTAATTATTAAGAGTTTTAAGGATTATGTGTTTGCAGTTTGTAGTAGTCACCACCAGATGGTGATATTTTTATCAGGTAACAAGTAGCTTCTGTCTTCAGTTAAATCAATCTATAGGAAAAAAGTGATAAGTGATACAAAATATAGTATTTATTAATAACAAGAACAATATAACTATACAAGGCTAAGATATTTTGATATAGCACAAGATATCTATAAAGGTACTTCTGTTACCAGAAACATACTTTCACAATCAGAATCACTCTAAAGGATAAGTAGACTGAAGTAAACTTCAGTTTACTTAAGTTTAACCTTCTCCTCTCTTAACCAAGAATTTAGAGGAGCCATTCATGTTCATGTACTAGGGTACAGCCCTAGTAGATTTTTCTTGTAGATTAGGATACTGTTGGTTTGGAGTTTGAAGCGTTACAGGTTAGTAATATGTTGCTGATGAGCCGCTCAAACTATGTCTTTGGGCTAGATAATCCTGATATTGTTTTAATGCTGCAGAATTTTTAAGTGCATCCATTGTATAGTTAATTGAACACCCAAGGGCAACTAAATGGAAATATCCTAATTTTTTTTCAGATCCTCAGCCTAGTCTCATGTCCATTGAAAATAAAATGAAAGACGAGGGAAAATGGGTATTACTATCTTCCAATCCAATTCTTATGCTCTTTAAACTTTTGCTTTCCATTATCTTCTCCTTCCCATTTAAAGTGTCATGTATTTATAAAGAATTTGTTTACTTTCAAATCTTTATTTTCTTCAGTTTTATTATGATCCTGTTTCTAATTTCTTTGTTATTGGAAATTGCATATTAGAGTTGCAATATCACCTTTCTCTTCCACAAAATTATATATTTAAATTTAAAATATTAAAGCCTATCTTTTACAAAGCATTATTAGAATATTCAGTTCAATTTTTATAAAGACATTTAATGCTATTGATTATAACATTAGATTTATAAAAACATTTTATAAATCTAAAGATATTAAGACATTTAATGCTATTGATTTACAACATTAGATTGATATGCCCATTTGTCATTGTGTTAAAATAGCCATCAATTTTGGTGATACAGTCTTTTATTATTTATTTATCTTTTTTAGAGATGAGGTCTTGCTGTGTTGCCCAGGCTGGTCTTGAAGTCCTGGTCTCAAGTGATCCTCCCACCTCAGCCTCCCAAAGTGCTAGAATTACAGGTGTGAGCCACTGAGCCCAGCCACAAAGTCTTTTAAAATAAAATATATTATAATGAGAATACACTTGAATTTGAATCTATATGTTATGCATTATTTAAGACTTGTTTTACAGACATTGCTGATGGCATTACACTTGCTTTCTAAATTTAGATAACAAAATATTGAAAAGTTAAATGAGAGATGGAGAAAGTCCACTGAGATAATTATTTTGACATTGACTTGTTTTTGTGGCAAAAAAAAAAAATCTGAAGATAAAACAATCTGAAGGTCCATGTCAAGTAATTTAGAACTCTGATCTAATGTAATTAAATAGAAGCCAAAATAAGTCATTCTAAAAAATAATTCAATCTGTAAATAAATACATAAGATATGTGAGTAAGGTAGTGGTGTACAAAGTCTAAGACCATGTAAAAGTCAATTCAATAACTTTGGAAAATAAACATTTAAATAATACTTTAATATATGTTTACAGAAAGATTAGAATAAAACAATTTGAAGAAAAATCACTATAAGTTTTGAAATATACATTACTAGTATTCTGACAAGGTGATTTCTGCATTTTTGCAATGCATTTTAAAATTAATCTTGAAATGTATACTTTACAATCATTTAATAAAATAGGTTGAGTTGTTTCTTTGAGACAACACATGTCTTTAGAGAAGAAACAAAAACTGTGTTTGATATAATATTTGAAGTAAATTTTTCTGTTTCAAGAATGGCTAAGAAAGTTTTTGCAATACACAGCTTTAGAAACAGATACTTTTGTTTTAGACTTAGAGGAGTTTCCTTTGCTTTATCCAGAAGCTTAATATCCTAGTTGGGTATGCTTCTCAGAACGGAATCTGCCAGTACTTTCCCTCAATTTCCACTCAAATAAATAAAACAATTCTACAATGAAGTATACAATTACAACTTTTTCTAATAATGTTTGAGTTAAAGACTACTTTTACCTATAACACATAACATAGTTGTTTTATGGGCCAGCCTTAACATATTGAAAGATGAAAGGAAAACACTATTATAGTTAAGAGAGAAACAAACAAACAAAAAAACACTCAGTAAGCAATTTGTATTTGATAGAAATGAAGGAAACAGCTATATATGGACTAGGGATATTCATATTTCCAAGTTAGAAGCTATTTTGCCATTTTACAGAAGAATGTATTCCCTAGACATCAGTATAAAGCTAATGCAGTAAATGTAATAAGCTTGCTTTGCCAGCCACGTTTACACAAGCCTCTTCATGTGCAACTTGGAGTTTTGCTACATTTCTTCCATTCCCAAAATGTCTTTTTCCCCTTGCAATAAAGGCCAGCAATATGTATAGAAACATGTGCATGGGAACAGTATATTCACTAAGTTTATACTCAGAGGTTGACAAACATTAGTAAACTAGGCCAAGATTTGATTTAGAAAAGATTTTTTTTTCAGAAATCAGATAAGAAACAAAATCTTTTAATTACCACAGTGTGTGATCTTTAGGTAACACATCAAATGCACTTAAGTGTTTGCACTAGTTCTAGCTGTTCACAGGAAAAATAATTAACAACTAAATCAGTAAAGCTTAAACAATGAAAGGAAATCAGTCTCACAACAAAGGTGTTAGTTTCCCCGTTTGAAGTTGCTGTGGAGCCATTCTTTCTTTAGACCAAATGATCACTAACTACCCTTGTTTTCTTCCTCTCTTTTCCTGTAAGCTTTATTTAACAACTGGATTTCTTCCTGGTAGCCTTCCCTCTCTTGATGCTGCCTTTTACTGTTCTGCCTGTGAGCTTCAACGGTGTCTGGAATGGAGATGTTGATATCACCGTCAGGATTACTTGTGGGTAAAAAGAGGGAGTATGAGGCTGTTTCTCCTAGATCACATGAAACAAATCTGTTTTCTTTCCGTGAGTAGCGTAGGGATGGAGATCTGACTTGTGTGGAGGATTGGCTGATGTTACTAATGATTGACACAGTGTCCAAGGCCTCTTCGTTATCACAAATTTCAAGAACCTCCAAGTGTATTTTCACACTGGTATCCGCAAACGTGGAGGGAGAATCCTCTGAGTTTGGTTCATGGCCAACACTTTTGGATCGATAGACTTCTATTTTCTTAGAGGCTGGGGTTATTTTTTGCCCTTCTGCGCTTACCTCGTAGGTAGAAAGAGATAGAGTTTTTCCTGTAGGTGCGTGGAGAGACACAGTCCCCTGGAATGCACACAAGGGAATGGCAAGGGCACCGCCGGAACGCTGGGGACAGAAACAAAATTGTTATTATTGAAAGCCAATTTCTCAGACTGAGACATTTAGAAATTGATGTTATTCATCAGAAAGGTAAAGTTTTTCTATTTCAGATCCATTTCCCTAGAAACCTTTTACAGATTTGGGATTTAAATTCTGCCACCAAAGTGCCAGAGCTCAGTTTCTCGTAGGTCAAACCAGACATCTAAATGAGGGCAGTCAGAAACTTTTCTTTAAAGATGACGGGTGTATTTCCACAGTTGAAGGGAAAATTTTTGTACTGATGGGAAGCAATAGGTATTTCCATGGGCAGAATTTGGACATAAAGTTGAATGCATACTTACAATTTGATATTGCTTTTATATTTTTGTTATATATTCAGTTACATTAAAAAGTTTGTGTGGTTTGAAAGAAATGCAGACTGGTGTTTTCAATATATACCTTTTTTTTCTGTCTAGTATGCCAGAGGGAATGATAATTTTGAAACTGCCTCAAATTATGGTAAGTTCAAAGGGCTGGGTGCAGTGGCTCATGCCTGTAATCCTAGCACTCTGGGAGGCCCAGGCAGGAGGATCACTCAAGGTCAGGAGTTCAGAACCAGCCTGAGCAAGAGGGAGACCCCCATTTCTACCAAAAGTAGAAATAAATTAATTGGCCAACTAAGATATATAGAAAAAAAATAAATTAGCCAGGCATGGTGGCATATGCCTGTAGTCCCAGCTACTTGGGAGGCTTGAGGCAGAAGGATTGCTTGAGCCCAGAAGTTTGAGGTTGCTGTGAGCTAGGTTGATGCCACAGCACTCTAGCCCTGGCAACAGAGTGAGACTCTGTCTCAAAAAGAAAATTAAGTTCAAAGAATATTTCAAATCTTAGGTGTGAAAAACACAAGATAAATGAAATGTCATCAGAACTGTGCTATGCTACAGTGTGCTTTTCCACAGAGAAATCAGTCATTACAGTAAACCCAATAATAGAGAACTCCTCCACCTCTCTGCAAAAATTTGCCTGAAAAGTTTAAACCTTTTATATTGTACTTTATATATATGTATATGTATGCGTGTATATATATGGAGAAAATAAGATTGATTCTTATAAAAAATTTATACTTCTTATTGCTGATTCATGCCTTCATACTTTCAACTGCTCCTTTTTCTGATTACATGTTAGTCTCAGAAGATGGTTATATGCCAAACTTCTAGAGCAGTGATTTTCCAAACTGAGTCTCTAAGCCAGCATCATCAGCATCACCTGGTAACTTTTCAGAAAGTCAGGTTTTTGAACCCTACTCCAGACCTGCTGAATTAGCAACTGTGGGTATAGAGTCCAGCAATCTGTATTTTAACAAACCCTTAGTTGATTCTGTTGCATAGTGAAGTTTGAGACCCATTGCTCTAACTAATGTTGTCATCCAGAAAATAATGGGGTGGAGGTTAACAGACACTTTTTATATACGGGCCTACCACCTGTAAAGCCTGGAGTTACTAATTGGATTGGTATGAATGTGTCTGTCCACCTGGGGGATTGGCATGGGGGATAATGGTTTTTTGCCAATGTAGTGGAACTGAAAGTCCTTCATTCCAGGAAACCCCTCAGTCCCAGGCAAACCAGTAGAAGGAGTTTGGTTACTTCAATAGTCCCCAACCTTTTTGGCACCAGGGACTGGTTTTATGGAAGAGAATTTTTCCACGGATGGAGGTGGGGGATGGTTTGGGGATGATTCAAACACATTACATTTACTGTGCAGTCATCTGTTAATGATAATCTGTATTTGCAGCCACTCCCCAGTGCTAGCATCACTGCCTCAGCTCCACCTCAGATCATCAGGCATTAAATTCTCATAAGGAGTGTGCAGCCTACATCCCTTGCCTGCACAGTTTACACTAGGGTTCAGGCTCCTGTGAAAATCTAATGCCGCTGCTGATCTGACAGGAGGCGGAGCTCAGGCGGTGATGCCAGCAATGGGGAGCAGCTGTAAATACAGATGGAGCTTCACTCGCTTGCCTGCTGCTCACCTCCTACTGTGCATCGCGTTCCTAACAGGCCACAGACTGGTACCAGTCCACATCCTGGAGGTTGGGGACCGCAGGGTTACCCTATTTGCCATGGACATTTTCAATCTGGACCCAATAGCAGGTAGAGGAAGCCGAGGTTTCCACTATTAGAGAACAGTTTCGATTCTCTTTTATTTAGAGAAGTTTTAAAGAGAGAATGAACCATGAGTTTTGCTGGGTGTGGCATCATGCCCCACTCCTTAAATTTAGGGACTATGAAAAATACAGTCCCGGATGTCTGAGACATGTTACCAGTCTTTCCCAGTTAATTCCTATGAAGAGGTCTTGAATTCTGTTTATCCATGAGGGGACCTAGGAATCTAACTTTAGGGCCTTGTACTTTCAGAAGGCTGGAAACTTTAAAATTTTACACGATAAAATTTAACCTTCTGCTAAGGCAAAGAACTTCATCGATTCCACATGTGTAATGTTGGCTAAAGGAGGAGAAACAGAGGTTCATTACTGCACCAGAGCACTATTTTGGTGGTGGTAATGTAAAATCAATGGACCGCCCAGGTTTCAAGGCACATATCCTGAGCATGTGCAGATGAACCAAGTATGCCAAATTAGTGAGCCTGGAGCCGGCTGGAATGAAAAAGTCAACTGCATGAGGAAGCTAAGTACCTGGATGAGGAATGAGGACCAAATTAAGAAGCAAAGGGTGCCCTGTTTTGTTGCAGCACAAACTTAAAAGCCTGGCACTGCCTCTCTGCATAGCCCACTCTGATCACATCTTGTTGCATTTTCCTATCTCCCTCATAATTACTCTCTGCCCATGAAACCTGCCGCCAGCCAGGTGTGGTGGCATGTGCATGTAATCATAGCTACTTGGGAGGCTCAAATGGGAGGACTGCTTGAGCACAGGAGCTCCAGGCTGCAGTGAGCCATGATTGGTCCAGTGCACCAGTCTGTGTGACAGAGTGATACTTGTCTCTCTAAAAAATAAAATAAAATTAAAGAAACAAACAAAAAACCCTGCCTCCAAATTTCAGCTAGAGGAGACAGATTTGAGTGTTGTTTCCTGTCTCCATGCCAGTCAACCTTGCAATAAAGCTTTTCTGTTTTTCCCCCTCAAAATCTGGTGCCACAGTCTTGGCTTCTATGTGCATTAGGCAGTGAGTCCATTGCTCGGTGACAGCAACTTTTGGCAAAGGGGAAGGGGCCTTCATTTCTATTTTTATTCATCGATTCATTTAACATTTGCTAAGTATCTATTATGTGCAAGATTCTGAGATTGCCCTGGTTGTACATAGATACTATCTCTTCGTTCTAAGAGCTCACAGATGATTGGGTAAGAAAGACATATGAAAAAACAAAATAAAATTTTTTTAGCTCTCAGTGTAGTAATTGAGATAGGAACTAAGTCCTATAAGGTTTAAGGAATGACTGTCTTTGGTAGGGAGATTTCTTATAGGGGTGGCATTTGAAATTGATCTTAAGAATCAAGGAAAGATTTACACTTTGAAAAGCCTTGCTTTCTGAGTGATAAATCATGAGTTAAAGGGCCATCCTAAAAAGTTTCCATCCTGAGAGAATATTTTTGTTTTCAAAGACAGGAACTTTTGTTTCTTTTAAAAATCAAATTTGACTGTAACATTATTTAATCAGAAAATTTGACTGTCATTTAATAAGATGAATTATAAATACAGCCTTCTTTACTCTGAGAGCTAATTTGAAAGCTGAACTACCTTACATTATACTTTCTTACAAGAAAAAAACATACAATTCTACCTTAGTGTGACTAAGTTTTGTCTTTAATATGAGGCATTGTATAAACAAACTGCTACAGAATGTGCTAGTATAAAAGAGAAAACTGTGATGAAAAAACTGAGTTATTAGATAATACCCAGCAGTATAGGCATGTCTATCTTCAAAGAACCTTTACTAGAGCTTCAACAGTATAATTATGTCATTGTATGTACCAACTTGCATCACTGATAAGTAGTTAATATAAAAGTAAATGTGATGAGGAATTTTTCTGCAACTCATTTTATACATCCACATAACACAGATTTCAATAATTTCCCCATGCTAACTTTCCTTGCAAATGAACAAGCAAGCTTTACTGAGTTATCAAATGACAGCTCATTAAAATTGGCATTTGAGAATTGCATAGTGCCAGAATTTGGCTAAGTATGAAGTCTGACTTTTCTGAAATAGCAAACAAAGTCTCGAGTTATTAAAATCATTTTGAGAACAATTGTTATTCAAACGTCTCCATTTGAGAGTTATCAAAGTAAAAACACAGAGATGATAGCAACAACAACAACAAAAACCAAACAACTTGATTAAAAAATGGGCAAAGGACTTGAATAGACATTTATCTAGAGAAGATATAAAAACAGGAAAAAAGCACATGAAAAAATGCTCATCATCACTAATCATTAGACAAATGCAAATCAAAACTATAATAAGATACTACCTGACACCCATTAGTCTGGCTGCTATCAAAATACCTGCACTCGAATGTTTATAGCAGCACAATTCACAATAGCAAAGTTGTGGAAACAACCCAAGTGCCCACCAATACATGAGTGGATTAATAAAATGTGGTATATGTCTACCATGGAGTACTATTCAGCTTTAAGAAACAATGGTGATACAGCACCTCTTGTGTTTTCCTGGATAGAGCTGGAACCCATTCTACTAAGTGAAGTATCTCAAGAATGGGAAAACCAGCACCACATGTACTCACCAGCAATATTAACGAATCAACACCTAAGTGGACATATAGGAATAACATTTATCGGGTGTCGGGTAGGTGGGAGCGGAGAGGAGAGGATGGGTATATACAAACATAATGAGTGAGATGTGCAACGTTTGGGGAATGGTCACGCTTGAAACTCTGACTCGAGTGGGGAGGGGGGCATGGGCAATATATGTAACCTTAACATTTGTACCCCCATAATATGCTGAAAAAAAACTTGTAAAATAAAAAACAACAAAAGCTGATGAAGA